TGCTAAAAATCCACTCAGGGGACACCACACTCCTAGAAGGGGATTACCTTACTAAGTACTGTAATGGTTCCAGCTGGAACTGTCATTTTTGCAGTATGCTAGAGAAGGAAACTGTCTTCATTCTGTTGTTCTTCAATCAAATCACATAACCCTTTTACCCTATACAAGTTGAATCTCCTTAATCCAAGGAAAACCAAGCCCATGGACTGTTTTTTTTGTGTCTGGAAAATGCATGTTGCCTGGTTGTGCAGGAAAATAGGATGACCCAAAACCAGCAGCTTTTAAGTGATTATTGCTACATACTGTATATGATTTATGTGAATGAATTACCACTTCTCTGTTTAGTATCACTTTAACCTCCTAGCCCACTATAACTAACCTTCTAACCCATTCCAACCTAAAACCCCACTTGCTTGTGACTCCAGAACAGTGGCAGCCTCCTTCATTGTGTGCACTCTCCTCATCCAGAAATCTTCTTTGACATTGCCTGGTCCTTCACAGTGATTTCCAATTGGCTTGAATAGGACTTTACTCCTACACTGGAACCTCTAGGACAGTGTTTCTCAACCTTTTTCCAGTCCAGTCAAGGCACCCTGTAAAATTATGGACAGTCCCAAGGCACCCCAATCTAAAATGTGAAAAACTTTTCTAATATTGTTATATAACACAGCAACATCCACACATGTAGGACACCCAATATTAGAGGTGATTTATTCTTCCAAAGCAAATACACTTTTGCACCCTGGTACTGACTAGTATGCCCATGTTTCTCTTCTTTCTCAATTTTTCTCCATCACGGAGCTAATGTGACCCCAGCACTGATGGAGAAGGGTGGGGGAGGGCCAAACTAGGATGCTGTGCCAGCAGCTGACATCCTTCTTATCAACTGATGATGTAATTGGTTGTCAGGATGCCGATGGCTAGAAGGTTGTAATGGCGCACAATGAAAACCTGTGGCTTAGTGTAACTAAAAGGCAGGCTTGTTCCACCCGCTGGCTTGTATACATGTTTTTGGCAATTTATAGACATTTTGCCAAGGCATCCCTGAACAAAAACCTCAAGGCACCCCAGGGTGCATATAAATCAATGGGATCTCGCTGCGCCAGAGCCCATGATAGACAGGATCATGACCTAAGCTGTCCCTGTAGTTACTATAACATTTTCTCTATAGTTGCTATAAAATAACTCACTGATTTGTGGTGCCAATGCACTCTCCATGTACTCATCTTCGGTGATCGTTTTTTTCATCACTCTCCAGCTTCAAGATAAAATCTCTCACTGCCCAGATGAAGATGGGGAAGTGTCTGGAGAACTCATCCTCTTCATCTTCATTGTCTTTAGATTTCACCTTAATTAAATCAGCCAATTCACTGACAAAGCTGTTAAAGTTAAGTAAAAATTATAAAATTCAAATGCTTTATATTTATTCATAAGATCAATTTCAAGCTTTGTTTTATGATTTTAAAGAGTAAGTTCACCTTTTTCAAAAACCTACCCATGCCGGTAATGGGCATCTGTAGATAAAAACAAACTGTGCAGCTTTGGCCAAAGTTGAATAATGCCCTTGCTATAGGTGTAGGCCATGTACATACCTCATGGAGCCTGACTAAAAGACTCCTAGAGGCTGCATCAACTCTGGTTAGGATGTTGCTAAGAGACTCCTGGTTGTGAAAGTCCATTTCCATCATTACAAGAATGAGCTCTCAAATGCTGAGCTCAGATCTATTGCATCAGGGGAGAGAAAGTGCATGTGAGGGGTTTTGAACCCGAGAAAGAGCTCATTCCTGTGATGGCTGGCATGAACGGTAAGAGTTGGGAGTCATAAAGATGTCATTTCTGACTTTTTCTGGGCAGGCATTGGGAGATACGTAAATAGCTCACCTTGTTTTCTCTCTCTGAATGGAAGAGAGAGATAAAATTGTATCTCTCTCTGTCCTTTCAGAGAGAGAGAAAAAAAAGTGTAAAAACAAATAAATACATTGATGAAAATAATAATACAAAAACAAAATAAACAAAGATCAGTGCCAGGGTTAGTGTTTGGGTCAAGGCCAGGGTCAAAGGTCAGAGTCAGTATTTTTTTTTTTTGTAGCCCCCCTGGAGGTTTTCCCGAGTGTAGCTCGGGGTAAAGTTTCAGCACCACAAGCGGTAACCCCGAGCTACACTCGGGCTTACCATGCAGCGCTGCTCCGGGATCCCAGTATCATTTACCTTGTCCTGCGCTCCCGCGGTGTCCCTCCTGCAGTGTCCCCTGTAATGTCCTCCGGCGGATGCCGGCATTTGTCTTCCGGGTTCAGTTCCCTGCGAGCGTCGGGACGTACGGGGGACGGAACTGGCAGCAAATTTGAAAATTACAAAAAGTGACATTCACTAATTACACTAAAATCACATCGTATAAACATTCCTGTATCAAACCATTTCACATACATTTTGTCCCGAGTGCTTTGTCCGGCGCCCTGCCTGCATTTTTACTGTTCTTTCTGCCTGGAAACTGAGAAAACGTCCATGGCGTCTAAAAAGCAGCCTTTTAGGTCAAAAGCGGTTTTAGACCGGCTAGAGAACAGCGATAGTAAATCAGAACCACTTGCAGAATTGAGTGATAATGATTTGTGGGGGAATTCCTCATCAGACACTGAAAATTATTTTGCGACTTTGCTCAGTGATGTGCGAACTTGGCAATCTCCCCCCTAGGCTTGGGGCCTCAGCCGAGCTCCCTCCGTGACTGGACAGTGGATTGGAGACTCAGGCAACAGGCGGGCAACCTACCCCTGAGCAGGGGTCTCGGGCAACAGGCAGGCAATCTACCCCTGGGCAGGAGTCTCGAGCAACAGGTGGCAACCTACCACTGGGCAGGGACCTTGGGCAACAGGCGGCTCATGCAGAGCTGGGGAGACTCCCAACACTGGGGTATTGCAGAGGGTTACAGTCCTGACCTTTTAAGGGTCTGCAGAGAGTGTGCAGGGGGATGGCTGGGGAGGCTCGGTCCCCCTCACCCAAGCCTCCCAGCATCTTTCTGGAAGCAAGATGATTCCAGCAGCATGGACAGGAACAGAGAGTGGAGGGCTGCTTCCTGTGCGGGTCTTTTGAAAACCATGTGGGATGCGGCCCAGCCCTGTCCATGGAAGCTCCACAGACATTGGAATGTGCAAGGGGGAATGGAGGGGTGGAGGGATATGGCGGGGGATGGGAGAGGCACTGGCAGTCCGTGACACTCCTGCTAGAAATCCAGTGAGCTTGTAACTTCCCATGGACTCTGCAGGTGCTCAATATCATCCAATGGGAGTTTAGAAACAGTCACACATTTACAAAGATGGCACACAGTTGGGACCATCACTTGTAATTACTAAGCAGTCTGTGGTCATACTCATCAGATTTTAATTTAATTGTAATACATGTCTTAAAAGTACAATACTCTTGAGCCGGGGAATGCCCAAAGGCTCTGTTATGTAAGTTTTACTTTGGGTTTTTTTTTCATGAAAAATTGAATAAAAAGATTTTATGAAAAAAAAAAAAAGTACAATACTCAATAATCTACATATCTGTACTAAAAACAGTCATATCACGGTTTCACAGGACATTTTCTGTAATAAGTAATTATTATTCCAATTGTAAATAAATCACTTTATATTATTAATGACCATGAAGTATAATACCAGAGTTTCTCAACAGCGTCCTCATCAATTGTGCCTTTGCTGTTATAGACCAGAGCGCTGCTCAGTATAACGGACAGACAGAAAATTTTCATGTCATTGCTCTTGTCTCCCTGTAAATTAGTAATAGATTTTATCAGTGTGTGTCTAAAATAATGCTACCAGACACACCAAATATATTCAAATTTGAACAAAAAAATGACATTTGGAGAGGGGAAGTTTGAATATTGGTGGTATTTGTGCATCTGACTAGCTGCACATGTACGGTTATGTTTTGGACAATCAGAAGATTGGATCATTCATGGGGGGCTCTACTGATTGAGCAAAAAGTTGGCCTGAGAACTTTTAGGCCACCATCAAATGTCTTTGGACTTTCAAGCTTTGTACACTTGTATGTATGTATGATGGATTGAGAACCTCAAACTGCCATCCTAGAAAGCATACATGAGACCACCACACTCATTATTAAAAGAGTGCCCTTTATTTGTAAGTGATCATTGTCAAGTGTAGGACCATTATTAGAAATCATGGGGCCTCATGTAGCCTACCTGATATTCCCAGAGACGTTCAATCCACTCTACCTCTATGTTGAGGCAGCAACATGCAGGACTCTGTCACGACGGGTTAGCCTTGCCACATTGCAGTTACAATGCTCACCCCGTGTAACTTACTTTTACACCGCACCAGTGTATCCCCCCTCTAACACAGGGGTGTCAAACCATTGGGAGTCATGCTTGTAACTGTCAATCTTGCAATGCCTCATGGGAATTGTAGTTTTGCAACAGCTGGAGGGCTGCCAGTTTGACACCCATGCTCTAACACATGAAGGGGAAGGAAGTTTGGGGGATTGGTCAATCTGCTCCGTCAGCCCCCACAGCACACAGCTCTAGGTTTAAGGACATTTACTTTTTCCTTGTCTTGCTGTCAGATGATATGCATGTTTTCTTGCCTTTCATCTACATGCTTTCAGAAAGGTCCAAATAGCACACACCTGTCAACTGACAATAGCCTCCCCAGGAACAACCCATCACCATGGCAACACTAGCAGTGGCCAAATAGTTGCCAACATTTGAAAATATTTAAGACGGACACCTTAAAAAGTTAAAGAAGAAAAATGTCCACGTTTTTTGTGAGGGGGTGACCAAAGTGGGTTGGACCATTGAAGCATGTGTGACATTACAATGTATGGCTTGTAGTGTGGTACTTTTACCCTGATATATTTGCAATATTTTGCTATATTTAATTTTTTTATTTTCGCTATATTTGTATATTACATCCAACTGTGGATGGGTTTTAAGAAACCCCTTATTGGATAATATGGTATGTCTCAGATGTCAAGGGTCATTAGTTATGACTCACCTTCTCCACATCACCCAGACCCTCTGTATCCAACAAAACCAGTGTATGGTTCTCCTTCGTGGGATGGGGGACACACCACATCCAGATACCTTTTGTCTTTGACTGCACCGTGGCCCCCAGTGCAAAACCTGCAGTGGTAAGATGGATTTAAAAAATAATACATTATATATATATATATATTTTTTTTTTTTATACTGTATGTAAAGTATTAACAAAATCCCTTTGCCCTTAATCCGTCGTCTCACCTCTATGAGCTTTGGCCAGCTTGTTCATCAGGTAGGACTTCCCTGTGCGGTACATTCCTACAATTCCCACCACCACCACTGGCTGATCTATCTGGACAGGATGCTTGCTGCCTCAGGTTTGACCTGGAGCGTACCATCCTTAAGGTTTTCAATCAGACACACCGGAGCCTCCATTCTGATTGCCATCTTTACTATGTCCTAGAATTAATTCAAATAAGTCTATTTGGACAAAAGCAATTGCAGCACAACCTGTACTTTTCTGATTGAAACTCCTGATCGTACACCTACCTCTTTACTGGTCTGCTCGGTGGGCAAAGAGCTCTTCAAATTTGTATGACTTCTTCAGTCTTGTCGGTTGTTCACTTCGATCCAAGAAAGGGGCTTCAGGAACAGCAACCAGCTCACACTTTGCTCAGCAGTATCCTCACGAAAGTCACACAGCATTGTAAAGGCTTGTAGTTGTTAAACAGATATGTGTGGAAGAAGGAAACTGAAAGTAAAGTTAACATAGGGTCATATTGTGGGCTCTGGTTTAATACTACAAGAAAATGACACTTTACAAGTTCTGCCTATGAAATACACAATATGCCTCTTTATTATGACATTGTGTTACACTTACAGAACTCAGAGGCAGACATCTATTATTATACAGTATTTATAAAGCGCCAACAGTTCGCTCAGGGCTGTACATTACAATGGGGGACAGAACATGCGACAGAACAATACCAATACAATGTGATACACGAGGGGTTCGAGGGCCCTGCTCCTTAGAGCTTACAATCTAGGAGGGAGGGGATAGTGGTACAGGAGGAGATAGCTGTGGGGGATGGAGTGATAGGAAGACTGGAGGAGGTCGCAAGTTAGCAGGGGGTGGGGTAGGCTTCCCTGAAGAGGTGGGTTTTCAGGGTGCACCTAAAGGAGAGGAGAGTAGGTGATAATCTGATGGGTTGGGGCAGGGAGTTCCAGAGGATGGGTGACACCCTGGAGAAGTCCTGGAGGCGGGCATGGGAGGAGGAGACCAGGGAACTAGAGAGAAGGAGGTCTTGTGAGGAGCGGAGTAAATGCAGATGTTAAAGTCATTCCACAGCACTCTATGGACCACACTTACGGTCCAGAACTACCACTTCACAATTTCCAGGGAACTAGAGAGAAGGAGGTCTTGTGAGGAGCGGAGTAAATGCAGATGTTAAAGTCATTCCACAGCACTCTATGGACCACACTTACGGTCCAGAACTACCACTTCACAATTTTCATGTGATTTTATGTAATATAGAGTGTCCTGTGCAAAAATACCTGCAGAGAGGACTTTTTTAACTTTTGCCCTCTGTGACGGAAGAGTAGGTGGGACAGAACGCACATGAAGGATGATAAACACACAAAGTTTTATTGAAATAAATTGTCGCCTTAAACCAGTGATAGTATTTATATTTCTTCAGTACTAAGCTGAGACAGTAAAATAAGCTGAGACAGTTAAGCTGAGACAGCTGAGCTAGCTACCACCTGAGAGCTGAATATTCTATAATAAGGCATAGCTGGTTACAGGACTCTGGTGGAAAATGTCCAGGGTGTTAGAAGTGACTCCTAATAGAATAACTATTACCTAATGTATTTTTAATAGTATCTGAATTGTGTATTTAGTTTGAGTTATAAGTTGGTAATATTGTTACATATGTAGATTAGTGGTTATACATTAGAGATATTGTAAAGATACATTCTTAATTTATTTTATCATTTAAATATGATTAACTGATGTTACATCACCCAGCTTATTATGGACATCACATATGTACCCTGCCATATCAAAACACCATGTATTGTAGCGTCCCCAACCTTCTATGCAATTGCTCTGCTAAGCAGTATTGATTCCATACAAGGTCTCAAGATCCCAAAGTATGATCTCCATGTATAATACATACGGGGGGGGATAAGATCTCCATGTATAATACATAAGGGGGATATGATCTCCAAGTGTATAATACATAAGGGGGGATATTAGGAATCTCCATGTATAATACATATAAGGGGGATATGATCTCCATGTATAATACATAAGGGGGGATATAGAATCTCCATGTATAATACATAAGGGGGGATATGGATCTCCATGTATAATACATAAAGGGGATATGAATCTCCATGTATATATAACATAAGTGGGGGATATGAATCTCCATGTAAATACATAAGGGGGTGATATGATCTCCATGTATTAATACACACTTAAGGGGTATATGGATCTCCAGAATACTACATAAGGGGGATATGATCTCCATGTATAATACATAAGGGGGGATATGGATCTCCATGTATAATACAATAAGGGGGATAATGATCTCCATTGTATAATACATAAGGGGGGGGAATATGATCTCCCATAGTATAATACATAAGGGGGAATATGATCTCCATGGTATAATACATAAGGGGAATATGATCTCGCCATGTATAATACAATAAGGGGGAATATGATCTCCATGTATAATACATAAGGGGGGATATGATCTCCATGTATAATACATAAGGGGGATATGATCCCCCACGTATAATACATAAGGGGGGGATATGATGGACTCCACGTAATAATACATAAGGGGGGGAATATCTCCATGTATAATACATAAGGGGGGATAGACTCGCGAAGTATAAATACAAAGGGGGGATATGATCTCCATGAATAAAACATAAGGGGGATTTTATCTCCCTTTTATAATTAAAAAAGGGGGTATGATTCCATGTTAATACATAAGGGGGATTGCTCCATTTTATAAAACATAAGGGGGGGTTGATTTTCCATGAAAAATACATAAGGGGGGATATATCTCCATGAAAAATAAAATAAGGGGGGAAAAAGACCCATGTATAATACTAAGGGGGATA